CATCATTGCTATTGAAATAAAACATACAAAAACACGTGTGAAGGGGAGGAAATAAAACATACAAAAACATGTGTGAAGGGGAGGAAATACAAAATACAAAAACACGTGTGAAGGGGAGGAAATAAAACATACAAAAACACGTTTGAAGGGGAGGAAATAAAACATACAAAAACACACATATATGTATATCTAACCTTCATTCACTTTCATTTTAACAAAAACACAGATGTAGAAACTCATTTGTTACAAAAGTAGAATATAAGAAAAACAAGTATTGACAATACTATCATGTAATGACTAACAAAGTCTTATTGGTACTAAAAAGAAGTACATTATTTATGCATAACAAAATATACTGATTTTACACCAAAACTAATATCCTACTGCATCTACCTTTTGCTCATATGTCACTCTAGATTTAATGTTAACACTATGACACTGTTTTAAAGCTGAATAAACTTTGATGAAATCAATAAATTGCTGGATAATCGCCAATGCACTGAGCCTTATTTTGAACTTATTTACTTTTTGCAATTTTTAGGAAACAATACAAAGAGAGTACACAAAATCTAGAACCAATACCTTAAAATAGTTTATTACAATGTCACTTACTGTTAGATTTAAACCAAGTCTTTTCTTTTTATTTTTAATGTCAAAAGTGGGGACACAAGAATTAAACATGAACCATTTACTAAAAGGTTATCCAAGGGGAAGCATTTCATATAATCAATTACTGTTGTAAATTGAAAATGGAATTTTGAAGAAGAAAAAATTTTTTACAAGTCGCAGGTCAATAAAAATGTTTACAATTAAAGAATAATTTAGAAATAAAAAGAACATAAAAAAAGGCAACCACATTGTAATTTATTGAATGAAATTTTAAAAAATTACTAAAACAAATAACCTTGTTTTCTACATTTCTTAAAGGTGAAAAAACTGAAAAAAGAAGACTAACGCTTGCATGTACATACTTCAATTTAGACCAATCAAATTTTTTTTAAATAAAAGTAAAGAAAAGATGAAACCAAGTTTTACCACTTTACTTAAGAGGAAATCTTAAAATACTCTGCCCAGTGCTTATTTAATAAGAAAAGTTTAAAGGGTAAGTATTTTGATGCTAAATGTACTCTTTGCACTTTACCAGATGAGCTAAGATAAATACCAATAAATGACCTGATTTGCAGTTTAAGCATAAATCATGTTATCTTTCATTCACTACCTCCACTGATGCATGTAATATTGGTAATAAAAACTAAAACATTTCTATGGACCTTATTCTATGTATTGGACAATGAGAATATAGAATTTTCATCTATTTCACATTCCACTGTAATTAAACAATTTCTATAGTTTTATATTCTGTGCCTCTAACAATGCAACTACCCTGCAGTTGAGTTGATCCACAACCAAGTTTCGGGAAACTCTTTTCGCAGTACAATATACCGTGGACCTTTAGGAGTTGTCTCTGGCAGCTGAGAAGGTGGCTGTAGAGCATAATCTAATGGGTTTTCATCGATGACAATAACACCCCGAGGCTGTGCTGTTGTGAAAACAGAAGGAAAGAATAGGAACGTGTACAAAGAGGATGGACAAAAGACAAGAAGTAAAAGGGTACCTTATGTCCAGTAGCTTGAAAGAATCCTAACTACCATGCTAGTATTTTTCACAGGTTAATATTGATATTATACAATGGAATAAATTAAACCAGCTTAGATTTTTTTCCTCTTAGCTTCCACCTCTAAATACTTCCCGAGTATTACAAAGCAAGCCAAGTATGAAATACCTTTAATCACATAATTTAAAAAATTTAATATGTTTTTAAAGCAATGTTTACTAAAATGATCAAATTAAAAGTGTTCATTAATATAGATATGTTTGGAGAATTGATTTTAACAAAAATTAGAATTTTCCCAGTGCTTGTCATTATAGTAGGAGCTGTTAGAAGAGGAGAGGTAAACAAAATAACTTTTTTGCAACATTTATCTTTTGTTAATAAGTCTAGATTATGCCTGACTATAACTTAAAACATATTTCTATTCAACTATATTCTATTACATAAAGAACTATTTCTGAGGAAGCTGTAATACACACATACTGTTTGTCCCAAAGGAATTAACATGAATACGTTAATTCTTTAGATGCTACAATCGAATTTAACCAACTTGACCTTTATAGCCATTTGGTGCGACAAGCGGATTTACTCCATTGTGTCACAAAATCTTTTCCTCATAGTGCAACAATCTGAATACTCGCACATACTGCATGTGCATACACCACTGAGCAAAAGTGCAACTAGTGGATTTTGATATTGAAAAAGTACTAAAAATGGTCAAATTATAAATTTCATTTGTTAGTGGATAATTGACACTTTGAGAACCAACCCGAAATTTAATTATGCACTCAAAGGGTTAAAGAAGTACATTATTTAAGATCTATGCTCTTATTTGCTTTACAATAAAATATGCTTGCAAAATATTAGTTATTCAATATTTACTGTATTATAGAACGTTTACATCAAATCACATTTTGTTCAGTATAATTCAGTGACGATTCCCAGATGAATAGGAGCAGATTTACAACACCTTAATTGAATGAAGAAATGCGATTTATGCCAAATTGCTTTATTTTTCTATATTTATGAGACATCACCTACCGTTTGATCTAAAGTAGAATTTTTGGCTTTTCGTTTCTCCTAAGCGTTTTTGGATAGATTTACATTAAGAGAGTACCACTTAAACTGCTAAATCTTTGTTTATCCTGTTCAACTCAAAATCCTGATAAATTTTATAAGTATGTTTTAAAATGAAAATAAGATAAATTTTCCTTAACTGCAAGCCTATATCCCTAATAATGTTTTTAGCTCTAAATATCACAACATTTAATTACAGAAAAATACTCATCTTATTTAAGTATTACATACTTGTACATTAATTTCATAAAAACAACATTTTTACACTTCACTGGACAACAGGTACACCTAAAAAACAGATTTTGTTAACAGCTTAGACAAAATAATAATCATGCATCACTTACCAGTCCCCCCCATGATTGAGAGAGATCACATGTGACATCATGCAAAGCTCAATCATATTTGATTAAACAAGAAAATCATGCATTGATTGTTTATAGCTATCCATACAGAATGTAATTGTGGCCATGGTTCATGCATACATAAATTTCTTGTCATGTTTACCATTTTTGTTGTTGTTTGTTTCACTTTGCACAAAGCTATACAAGGGTTACCTGTGCTAGCTATCCTTAATTTTGAAGTGATAAACTAGAAGGAAGGCAGCTGGTCAACACCACCACTCCCATTTCTTGTGCTACTCTTTTACCAATGAATAGTGGTGCTGACCACAACATTATAACATCCCCACTGTGAAAAGCACAAGGATATCTGGTGATGGGATTCGAACATGTAACCCACAAATTATAGGCCAAGTGCCTTAAGCACCAGGACTTCTTTTTAATTGTTTTATACTTGTTCACTGACAACCACTGTGTAATGACTCTGAAAGTATTTTATTATCCCTAGAAATCATCTTGGAACAATTCATGCACCATAACCACAGCAGAAGTAGAATTTCCTACCTGAAAATGAGATTTTTTTTTCTTTATGTTAAAGAACATAACTTTACTGTTAAAGAACAGTAACTAAAGCATAAGTTTTTAAACACAAAAAAAGAAAACTGGGAAAAAGTGATTAAACATTTTGCCACAGTTCAATCAGTTAAAAAAAAAAACTGCACAGATAACTCATCCTGACTGTTTTGGTCGATACATCTTTACTCTTAGAAGTTTGAGTGAGAGTAGCTTACAGCAAGGCTTCCAAAAAGCCAGTTCTCAGTGTGGAACAGAATGTGCAAAAAATATTAGTCTGGTTAGAATGTTAAACATATTGTTATTTGTGATGAGATACCTAAACAGAGCTAAAAACAAATTCAAGATACAAAAGAAGAAAAAAAATTATATAATTTTATACCTTAAGGCAGCATTTCCCAAAGTGTGGGGTGTACCCCCCTCAGGGGGGCACAAACGATTATGGTTGAGTCAATAGTGTAATAATGCAAAATTAAGCATTTTAATATTATTTTCATTAATGAAAAATATAAGTAATTACTACAACACATATAGCATTTTAATGTGTATCTGTGTGTTTCATCTTGATCGTCATTTAACTCACCCTTTCACTCACTTAAAAAAAAGAAAAAATAGGGTGTGTGTGTGTGTGTGTGTGTAAGAACCATATTTATCAACGAATGACATGGATGAAAAAAAAAGTTTGAGAAATTCCTCTTTAAG